CCCCCCCGCCACGCTCTCAACAGCCAACTGTTGACTACATCGACAGTTCTTGTCCTCCTCGCTGACTCCTTATAGACTCTCCACATTCTTTGACAACTCCACACAAATGAGCTTTAAACAGAGTGCCTCTTCAGTTCAAATGATTAACCTGAGCGACTGTTTCGTTCTGATGATTTACTGTCGCATTTTTCTGTCACACATGTTCAAACACATCCAGTTTCAAATCCAACTGTTCAAACTATCCTACACACACTGTGCGTCACATGGAGGTGCCAGCTTGAAATATTTGCAGGAGTAGTCTGTAGGAGATGAATGTGAGTTCTTATCATTTCAGAAAATCCTTCCACTTACATTGAACTGTTTAAAATGAAAATCCTGTTTGGTCGGTTGTGGTTTCACATTCTTTTAGTTCCTCAGCTATATGATAAACTGTTTTCTCTTACTGATTATACTGATCGTAGATGGTAAAACAAGAAGACAATAAATTTGCTTTTATTCTATTTAAACAAAAATTGTCCATTCAGTTTATTGCTGTGGTATTGTTTGTTTGTGTTTTTATTTGTATTTGACCCATGTAGCACTCACAAACGTGCCATCAACCAAGAGGAGCATCTTACGCTAATTTTTCTGTGCTACCAGTTACATATGGATGTCAACCTCCAGCACAAAACCTGTGAAATTGTTTTCAAGACTTAAAGTGTAACACCCTCTGCTCAGTGTAATGTATCCGAATTGCCTGTCAAACTGTGTGTCTGAAAAGGTCAACAAGCAACCGGAGGTAATAAATGAGACCGAGGCGAACTGCTTGTGTGGGCGTAATTGGGCTGAAGATCCAATACAGGGGAACAGTGACTTATGGGTAATTACCTGCAATGTCCTGAGACGAAGAGCTGTGAGTGGCTGTCTCTCTGATTCAATCAGCCCCACACAGAGCAGTGCAGTACACAGCCTCTGTCTTAATTGTCCGATATGCTTTCCCCCTGATGCACAACTGTTTCTGCAGCCGTTTCCTCTCCACTTACCCCAGCAAGACAGAGACAGACAGAGAGAGAGAGAGAGAGAGAGAGAGAGAGAGGGAGAGAGAGGGAGAATCTCACACTTGTGAACTCATTCACACACACAAAGTGCCTCTGTGTTGCTCACAAACAAGTATGCATTCTTCACCCTACAACCACCACACATACATGAACACAACTCCTATTTTCCTCTCTCATACACACACACACACACACACACACACACACACACACATAAATCCATTTGCATTTGAACTCTCAGACCACAGTGGGCTGTACATTTTCTCCTTCATTAACATCGTTTTCTGACAAAGTGCTGATCCGAACTGACCTTTCCTGTGCATAGAGTTGGTTGTGTACTTTTAATGACACCGTTGGCAGTGTGTTGAGGTCTTGTGGTCAGAGTTTGGCAAGTCGCATTTTAAATTGAATCCATGACAGAATGCTGTTCTGAATTATAATCAGTAACATGATCTTGATAACCCGGTGGAATCTAATTTAGTTAATTTACTGTTGCATTTCCAACACTAACATTAGATCATTAGTTTAAGTAAATGATGGCTCTAACTTACAGTGGAGGCCACAAACTGGAGGGAGTGGGGGGCTTTGTAGAAAACCATGAAGATGCTTCGGAAACCACCGTTAACAATTAGAAATGTGTTTTATTTTTCGAAGACTTATGACAAAAATAATGTACAATATGATGAAGTTGCAGTATATACATTTATTATGTAACTTGTTGAGAGCTTATCGATCACACATACAACATCAGAAAGGCTCAACTGGTAAGAGAACAATAGCGAACAATACCAAATCATCAAAGATCAACACAGTTCTTGGCCTTGAGTAAAACAGCAGCCAACAGACAAGGACAGTGGCTCCAGTGTTGGGGTGCAGGTGGGGTCTGAAAATATGATTCAGGCATGAAAATATAGAGCAAAGTCACATCAACTTCATCAAGCCAATGCAAACTGATAAATCACGGTGCTGCGGTTTACACTCTTGAGACCGCAATGCAGCTGTTTTCTAATTCTGACATGCAGAATATTTATCAGTTTTATGAGCCTGGATGAAACATGTCAGAGAACACACACATTAGTCATGGTGCCCCATCCACTGCAGTCAGATCAGGAAGTGGAGTTGATGTCAGGGCTCTGAGCAAACAAATAAATAACACATAGACAAAGACTGGAGCCACTGAACTTATATACATATACATGTATATATATATATATATATATATATATATATATATACATACACACATACATGTATATGAGCTATATACTGCAGTACTCAAGTCAAAAATTTAACTATTTCCACCAACAAACTGAAAAATATCTGACAAAATTCTCTTCATTTGATAAAGAATAATAACCAGCACAAATTCCAGCACTCACGATTATTTCCAGGCTTAACAGAGCGACCAAAAGCCACCCTTGAACTTACACAAAACCAAAAAGCTGGAGGCCAAAACTCTATAAAACACTTTGTTTGATAGCCCCATCAAAATGCACCTTAATAATAATGAAATGCTGAAATCACATAGCGGGAGACATGTGAGAGTGTACAGTCACAGTAGAACTATTTCACCCTGCAAATATTTTGATATGACTCCATAAAAGACTGTATCTATCAGCTCTGTCTATCCATAAATCTTTATAGCAAATATTAAATACTCCATTACAGTACATCATTCTATCAATCTGGTAGTGTAAAATATGTCCTATAAACATAGACTCTGTAGAACAAAACTGAAGCTTATTGGTATTGAAAGGTTCCTCATTTGTCTGATTATTGTGCTGAATAAAAAACATAATGCTGTTTTATAATAACATTTAATTCATAGGCTTGATTTATTCTGAGATACAAAATCTGAATACTATTTTAAACACCATATATATCTATATATATATATATATATATATATATGTGTGTGTGTGTGTGTGTGTACAAAGTGCTTGCTCTAAAGTGTCTGTAACATTTATAAGCTTGAAATAACAGTTGCAAACTTTTACACTACATTAAGAATGAGCTCATTGTGACCTGGCAAAAAAAAAAAAAAAAAAAAAAATTGCAGGCACAATGTAGTAAACACCTGTACAAAAAAAGCACCTCCCAATATGTCTTCCCTTTCCTAGCTGTAACCTTTAAAAAGCACTTTCAACAACTTTTAAAGATTTTTTTTTTTTTTTAGAACTTTTCCTCAATATCATAGTTGCATCACATGTTCCAGTTTGCACATATTCACAATTACCATGGTACATCTGAAAAAAACAAAACAAAACTCAACAGTGCTTTTCCCATCATCTGATCTTCCTTCATATTCACATAGAGCCTGCTGGGGATCTTTGGATGGGTGTGAACACTGTGAAAGTTGGATGAGCATCATTAAGTGACTATATAATGTCTTGATTCTGGGAGCACAGCAGAAAAACTGTCCCGTTGTTGCTACTGATCGCTGAACAGATGACTGAACCAAATCAGACCTCCCCATTTCTCCCAGGCCACAGATCATTTTCAGAAACCGACAGATTTTTATCACCTCACTTGTACACGATAAAGTGATTTCTTGAATGACCTTCTCCCACCACAGTAAGGCTGAATGCAGGAAAAATACATGTACTGAGCAGCAATATGTCGTGATTAGTAACATTAATGACACGAAAAATATATACTTGTAATTTTACAGCACTAGTAAATATATTAAGACATTTCTGCAACAGCATCGATTTGCTGGTATCATCAGCACTAGGCAGTAACAACAGAACACTGCGAGACATACACAGAGAGAAATGGCACATATTTATCATATTCACATTTTCAAAAATTCTCATTTTATGGCTCTTGCTTTGTCTCTCTTCATTATGGGATTGTCTAGGACAAAGGACCTATTCTATCTGAGTCACTAGCTTGCTTATCTCAGGGATGAGTGCAAAACAACATAATTCAAAGGCAGGATGTGTTTCCTTTGCACTGTGAAGTATGTTTTGTTTATGGTGAGATGCGCTCATCTCTGACTCATTCATAGATTTGTTGAAATAAAGATGAATTGTGTTGTATCACAAAACCATGCATGTCGCACAACCTTTATTAGCCTAAGCCTCAATAGCTTATCTTATACAGTATCTGCTATGCTGCTGTGTTTGTCACAGGCATATTGTCATAGTCTTTATGATAGAATTCATAGGATGAAAACATATGAGGAACCTAAAACCTTTACAAAAGGTCTCCTTCTCCATTATAATAAGCTTACACTGTCAGTGAACATAGGCAAAGCTTATGCTACAAGCTATTGAGTCTAAATAATTGATTATGAAACAGATTCTGCTTAAATAATATCCTAAATTTGGTGATTCTGAGAAAAGCATGGGGGCAAAGTGTGTGCCTGATTACACACACATATTGCCAACTGTATCAGACTCACATCTATTTCTGCATTTGTCCCTCTATCAGACCAGAACTTGGAACTCTACTAGTGCTAACATTTTTGGTTTGGAAACTGCGGTCAGTTTACTGAGTATTATTGGAAACGTGCAAATTACAGTTGAATGGCCTCACAAAACGTTCACCCCTGCAACTACTTTCTTAGACAATTTCCAGCTCATAATTTTTATAGCTATGTCAGCAAGGCAAAATTAAATCAGTCAATTAAGGCAAATATTTATGATGTAGTGTGTGTGTGTGTGTGTGTGTGTGTGTGTGTGTGTGTGCGTGCATGTGTATGACTGTGTTAGTGCATGTGCAGTTTTTTAGTAGTGAATCTACACAGAAGAGAGGCTTTACACCAATTCACCTGCATAGCGCAGTGCTTGCCTGTATATAGCAATGCATAAATGCACAAATTCTACTTAAGTAAGCATACCTTAGCACAGATATGGCAAGCCAGTAACACTATCATAGGCACAGGTCGTTAACACTGTGTACTTGGCAGATAGTAAGTATAAAATGTTAGCTAATTACAGCTATTACATACTTTCACAGTCTTTCAACTTGCTCCAGGTGCTGTCCCTGCAATGACTAAGCAACATGAGAACTAAGAGAATACAACTCCTTAGGTTTCCACTGTAAGTGAGAGCTGGTTGAAAAGGTGAGACATAGCAGCTGTTTATGAATTGCTGGGTGTTCCCTTCTGATAAATAACTATATCAATGAGTCCTCCTTGAGCAAGGCACTTACTCGGTGGTGCTCAGTGTACTAAAGCACTAAGTGGCTCCCAACTGTGACTGAATCTGAATAAATTCTTCCTCTTACTACAAGAACTGCTGCTCATTGCAGTAAGTGATGTATGTTCACAGTACTATGTGCATGTCAAAAATAAAAAACTCAGGTTAAAAGAAAATTCCATGTTGGGACATGTATAATCAGTAATTAGATTATGATTAAATCTAATTATTTAGATTTAGATTATTAGATTATATGTTGCTTGTTGTTGTTTTTTGTTGTCCTTGTTTATTCATGTTTGTGTGCATTTTGTACTCTATGGTTCTTTTGGAGCAAAATCTCATTACATCATATACTCAGTTTGGCCACTTAATCATGAAAATATGAACAGCATGCCATTAAACAAAATGAAGCCAGGAATGCAAGGTAAAACTGCATAGTTGTGTTTTCAACTGTATTTCTGGGCAGATTTTTCCTTCAGCTAATGCCTTTTTGTATAAAAATATATCTCTAGCAAAGTACTAATAAGATGACATGATGAAATAAGAAATTTTAAGAATACAAAATAAGCCACGATTGAGCGGCAAAAACACCTCTGCCAGCAAGAGGTGTCAACATCAGCGATGACTTCTTCACGGTGTGGTATGAAAAATATGACTAGAATGTACTTGTCTTGTCCCAGTCAATCATACACTGACATCTCTTTGTGAGATTAAGACTTTAGCGATGTCATTGCACCAAACACAATTAGCCACAGATGTTATGAGATCCAAGGAAGCAGTGAACTAATGCTTTTTGGACTCAAGTCTCAACCTTATACTTGTGTGCGTCATGTGCATGGATGTTAACAAATAGAGCAAACTGTGCATTTATTAACATTTTTTTAGCATTTACTTTTGGTAGCCTCTGCATCAAATGTATTGATGTAGCAAATGTGAAAGAGCCAAGAATACAACTTGTAGCTTTTCATGTCTCAATTTCAGCACCCTCTGAAAACAAACACCTGCACACTCTCACCCACGCTGTGTGCTACGAGTTATTTGGTTTCCAGCACGAATCAGGTAGAAACAGACTGCAGGGGACTTCCTGGTCAAGTAACCTTACACCTAAAGGTCCAATGGCATTGTCATTTCACGGCGATAGGTTCCCCAGCAGGTCTGGGGTGATATACCCTACAGGCATAGCAGGTAGGGCCTTGAGGGGGTGCTGGGGCAGGCAGGGAGGGGGAGAATGGTGGGGAGGGGGGTTGAGGAGCAGACTATGCTGACTGTCCACCTCCTGTACCACTGTGTAGTCTGCGACAGGAGCCAAGAACTGGGACTGGGGAGAGTCAGGAAGAATGTAAGGTGATCGATTATCCTCCACTGTGGCTGCGGGTTTGGTTTCCAGTGGCTGAGGGTGTATGGTTTGGTACCCCTCACCAGGCATGGGGGAGCTAGGGGGAGTGCTGATCTGCCGGGCATTGCTCTCTGTGGTATAGCCGCTTCCCTCAGGATTCACTACCAGCAGCTGAAACTGCAGCTCTTTCTGCTTCTTTTCCTCGGTCTCATCACTGTCTTCACCCTCTTTTCCTTTCTTCTGCATTTCCTCCTCTGTGGCAGAGGTGCTCTCCTGGATTCTGAGTTGCTGGCCGGGAGAAAGCACAACACCTCCGGAGGGCATAACATTGCTGACTTGGGCATAGAAGTCTGTGTTGACCCAAGTTTGGGGCCCTGCAGTTTGGGTTTGGACGAGGGGCCTCTCGCCTCTCTCTGGGGTTGGGGCTCTTTCTACCGCGTCAAGGGAGGCTTCTCCGTCCTCGGGTTGGCCTGGCAGCAGGGTGGCCATCAGCATTAGGGTGTCTTGGTCGGGCAGATCTGGGTCATAGCAGCTGGCCCTGCCTGAGTCATCATCAGGGAAGCTGGGGGAGAGGGAAACAGGTGGAAAACGGGATGAAATTCATATTTAAAAAAGCCCTCTGAAAACATGAAAACACTGCCTTCACAAGAGAACCTCTGCAGTACCTAATGGCGTTGGCGCACCCTATGTTCATGTGGTGGCTGACAGGTTGGGACAGACTGAGGAGCCTCTGGGTGTCTGAGCCCTGGTTGTCCTCCTTCTCCCCAGTGTCTGCATCCACAGCATCCACCTCGATGAACTCCACCCATGGCTCGTCTTGGTAGAAATCTGGCGCATATGTGGGCAGGCCACCCATACCTCCACTCAGGATAAAATTCAGCTCGTCCAGCTTCCCCTTCTGCATGTGCACAAATTTGTGCATACATTTAGTGTGTGAGGCAATCAGGAAGCAGATATCCATATAATAATAAAAGGCCTACCTTTTTCTATTCTCTACACAGCAATGTAATTTTAGTATCAGCTGCACCAAAAACACTTTTTGTTTCACCCTTTGTGTTATTGTGAAATAGCAGCATTATTATTATCAAGACTTTTTTTTCTGAGGTTCAGGGTTGAAGTTGGATTATAAAGAGCAAACAGGCTGCATGTTAAACGCATCCCATATCCTCTGGCAATAATATACCCTCAACACAATGATGAACCACAACCCTCCTCATGTCTTATTATTATACCTCAGTGGTCCTCCTGTCCTTGTGCTTTCAGATTATTTATGGACATTTTTTTATTTGATTGTTGACACAGATGATAAACAAGCAGTGATTGGGAGAGGGACAGTGGGTGGTGTGATGATTACGTGGCCTAATGTGCCTCAGCCAACTGAGCCACATGGACGCCCAGTTAGTGTCTGTTTTTGATCAACATTACAATGGAAATGTAATAAAAAAAACAGTGGTTACACAACACTTTATACAATCACTTTACTGAATAAACAATGCACAAATCCACGTGTTGACTGCTGTGAACTATTGATGGCTACAATTTCTCTCTCTGTGCATGTGCAGTACAAAAGAATATATGTATTAGAGGCTGACTGATACTGCATTTTCGAAAGTAAAAAATTATATATAATCACAATATAGAAGCTAACATTTATTTTGAAATACATAATGCAAATTCTTTAAAAGTGGTTATTAAAAGGCATATATACAATGTGGGATGTTTCACAGTTGAGGTCTGTGGGGGTAAACTATGAAATGGTTACACTATATAAATATATATATATATATATATATATACGTAGCTGGAATATACCAGTAACCAGTGTCACTAATCTGTGACAAGCTAGCTAAAACCAGCCATGCCAATGTATCACTTGGGTGAAATAAATTAATGAATGGATGAATGAATGAAAGACAAGGCAGAATAACAAAACAGACATAAATGTACCTTTAACAGCTCTGGATCAATGCCTTTAATTTTGGGTGCAGGAACAGGTGGCAACAGAATTATCATGAATCTGTAGGGGGGAGGAAGAAGAGGAGGAAGTAATGAAGATAATCGGTTGCCAGTATTTGGTGTATGCATGTGAGTGAGTGAGTGAGTGTGTGTGTGTGTGTGTGTGTGTGTGTGGGTGTGGGGCATGACAGATGAGGCCACACTAAGAGTGGCACGGCAAAATCTGCTGCTGATTTAGCAAACATCTTGCCTGTTGTCAGTAGAGGTTGAATGAGTTTTAGACACTATAAAGGAGAGAGAGAGAGGAAGAGAGAGTGAGAGAGAGAGAGAGAGAGAGAGAGAGAGAGAGAGAGAGAGAGAGAGAGAAGATGTTCCTACCTGTGCTGTTGAGAGACGACAATCAGCATGATGAGTATGAGGATGCCCACAGTCCCGAAAATAAGAATAAGTGTGAGTGGGAAAGTAGTCTCTAAAAAAAAAAAAAACACAGAACCCATCATCATCATCATCATCATCATCATCATCATCATCATCATCATCATCATCATCATCATCACAAGTACAAAGTTCAAGGTTGTTCCAAGCGATGCACTCTGAAGTGAACGAGCCAACGGGGCCTGTCATATTTATTTATTACATCTGTTCCACCCTTGACCCACCATGATTTTACCTCTGCTGGAAACTTGAATGAAGATGGAGTCACTGAACTCTCCAAACTTAATGAAGGCCTGCATCCTGCAGCGGATGTGCACCTCGTACTCTTTTCCTATGTGCAGACCATAGATTGTCTGCTGGGTGTGCCGCTGCATCTCCAACTGAAGTACAGAAACACATGGGAAGGAGAGAGAGAGAGAGAGAGAGAGAGAGAGAGAGAGAGAGAGAGAGAGAGAGAGAGAGAGAGAGAGACAGAGAGAGAGAGAGAGAGAGAGACAGAGAGAGAGAGAACAAAAACACTGTTTAAAAAAGTGATTTTTGTTGCATTTTAATTCATCAGAAAAAGGATGCAGCAACACTGACAGAAACACTGAAGCTGACTTAAGCTAAATAGGGTGTCAAGAGCTCTGTGTTTATTTTTGGTACCTGTATCTGTGACCTTACCAAAGGTGCAATTGTTGAGTCATTTCAGATACATTAGACAGAGCACATGCTGTTATAATAGAGGGCTCTAAAGCGGTTTCCAAGTCTTGCATTTCTCAGACTGGCTAGCCAAGTGGTAATGAATATGAGCCTGTACAAGGTCCCATGGCCTCTGACCTACAGATCCCTCCCTTCACTTCCTTCAGAGAGGCTGTGTTCTCCCAGAGGGCCTTGCTCCGGCTTCCACTGCCTTGCCAACAGAGCTACACCGCATTTTAGCCACGACACTTGAGGGGGGAGGGGAAAGGAAACACGACACTCTGCCTCTATGACCTACCTACAATTTACTTTTAAGGGGGTGCATGAGTGTTTGCATTTGTGAGAGCTTGTGTATGTGCACAGAGCCATTTTGTAAAGTTTTACAGGGTGTGTTTACATGTGTTAGCACATGCAGTACTGTGTGTGTGTGTGTGTCTGTGTGTGTGTGTGTGTGTGTGTGTCTGTGTGCATAAAAGCAAGGGAGGGGGAGAGAGAATTTAAGAGCAAGTAAAAGAGAGAACACTCACTGCTTCCCAGTTTGTGGAATTTCTCTCTCTGTACTGGATCTCGTACTCAATGCGCATCCAGCCCGCCCCAACGTCTGCAGAGGGCGGGGGCTCCCAGTTGACCATGACATCATAACTTAGCCCAGAGGGACTTACATTCAGGATGGTCCAGTTTAGAGACACTGGTGGGTCGGGACGCACTGCAAGGAAAAGGGTAAAAGTTCAGTTTGAACAGAACAAAAACTATAGCAAGCTATTAATACCACTGAACATTCATGAATTCATTAATGGCTTTGACTGCATTATTTGTAGATGAACAAATAAAGAATTATACTTAATCAAAGACACCACTGTATATGTTCTATAAGTCAATGCATTTAAAAAATCTGAAGTATAAAATGGAGGTCACCTGTATGTTAACGTGCTGGTGCTATGTGCTGTATATCAACATACTGCAAGTTTCGCCAGTCTCCTCTGATAACAAGCATTTTGTAAAAATCAAACTCACTGGTTTAAAACTAATAAACTCAACATGTTCACAAGTATGCCAGTCTTAGCCTCACCGGCTGTGGGCCTAAACATGTAAGGGTTGTGTTAAAGGTGGCATGGGAGGAAAAGCCAGGCGGTCATGCCAATCTGCTGACTGGATTACAACATATTGTGTGTACCGTGTTGATATTTTGACCTGAGCTTCGTTTAAGGAAGATCAAGCAAAATTCATGTGTGTTCAAAAAACCTGGGAATTCACTGGAAAGCCACCTATTGCAAACTGATATTTCTAGGGTATAAGGAGAAACTTTTGCCTGATGGTAGCACAAGCAGGGAGCTAATTAAAAACACAAGGACTATGACTCATGTGGGGACCATTAATATCAACAGCAATCTTCCTGGAGATGCTGCCAGCAGCTGATGAGATATCTTTCTCCGGACATGAAATTGTTGGACGAACGGCTGGACCAAATGACCAAACATTCATGTCCTTTTTACAATACACGTACTGTAGGTTCAGTGGTTCAAAAGACAACATTGAATGTTATCTTTTTTTTTTTTTTTTAAACATGCTGATAATCAATTTTCACACATGAGAAGAGATAATAAGAAAAATAATTTTCTATGGAAGAGATAACAGCAAACATATGACATTGCCATGTGATAATAGAAAATCTATCAGCATTGGCTACAGTCCTGGTTAGATAAATACCATCAGACATCAAAACATTTACTGTGTAAACACTGTGTATCTGATGTGTGATATTGACAAGCATGTGACATTTGCTGGTCTAGCTGATATGTGGCAGCAAGTACCATTTCCTGGAAACCTTCAGTGCAGGTAATCTATCATACTAGACCATGCTTCATACTGTTAAATCGCAAAAATAAGGACATACGCACACATGTTGGTTACTAACCAATATTTTCCACAGTGAAACAGTCGTCGTCACTGAAAAAGGTGATGTTGTTTTGGCCGCGGAGCTGCATGCAGTAGGGGATCCAAATAGATGTGTGGTTTACATCAAAGTAGCACTCCCGCTTTGAATGGATATACTCTGGACACTCTTTCCATTCACTGGTTGGAGACCTGAAGGATAGAAACAAATGCATTAAGTACTCCACATGCAAAACTATTGCTTGGCTTCCTCCAGCTTAAGTACACAGAGTGGTGACCACACTCACTCTTTCTTAAGGTAGAAGACTCTGAGTGCTCCGGGGGAGGACAGGTTGTGGAAGTCGCCTGGACTCCACCAACAGCGGAATGTCTCCTGGTCCCTCGATATGCACTCTGTGAAATGAGGCTCAAGGGGGCCTGCGAGACAGTGAGAGAAAGACAAGGGTCAGAGACAGACAACACAGAGCAACTCAGACTGCATTAGGCTGATGAATCACCTTTACTGAGGTCTATCCACCCTGTAACAGTTTAGATTCATCAATGCAAGAACACTGATAAAGCCTAACCTCTGTTACCCTCACTCTTCCTTGAACCATCGCCGCTGCGAATCGACACAAACAACAATCACTTTCTTCACAACAGAGATGAGTAAAATAGCTGCAATCCTATCTAAACAAAAATGTAAGGGTGAGGGAACACGCCAGAGTGTGAGGTAATAACACCACGATATAATAACAACATCTCAAGTTCAACACCCATCCTTGAGGGATTGAGAGACCGTCAATAAAATGTTCTAGTCATAAACTTCTGAGATTGAGTGTGATGCTTTGTTTATGCACAAAGGGCTGTTATACAAATTCAAATGCCTCCGTACCATATGATAACATGATATATGAAGTATTTGACTAACAGAAGCTACATTTTCTCGATGAAGATATTCACATATCCATATGTCTTTGAAGCAGGTGTGTTGGAAAGGTTCTTTTGAAGACCATTACAGTCCGGCAAATGTGTAAACATACTTTATTCTTCTTTCTAACAAACTTGCACTCACACCCTGCATTGCAGGAGCATCACATTTGTAGTGATGGAGATTACACCTGCACGTAGCTGCCAGCTGCCTCGAGAAAAACACACACACCACCCAGATGGAAGCGAACGTCATGAGCAACACTCTCCGCTGGCAGGAGATAAGACTAACTTACAGTCTGCAGTGAGTGACGTTGCATCGATTTTCAGTCGCCATGCCTTTATAACCTGCAGATCTATCCACACACATTTCATACCATTCGTCCTGTGCCCCACCCCGAGGCCCCTGACTCAGCCCTTTCCACCTCTCCTTCGGCACCCTGTCACTCCTCATCACCAATCCCCTACCACCTCCCTCTCCTGACAGTGAGGCCATGCAGCTTCTCATCCAGCGCAGAGCGCCGGGGTTTTGGTGCAACCATAAATAAGCAACTGAAGGTATCATCGATTTTCTGCTCCACCCTCTCTACCCCCAGCTCTCTCTCCTCACTGGCTGCAGCATAAATCACACACAGAACCAGAACATAAACATGCTTTTCAGAACACAAGGCAAGGAATTAAAGACGGAGTGGAGCAGACCAATATCGTCGGATAGTTTTTGAGTTTCTAAACGTAAAATCAAAACGATCTCCGCATACACTTACTCAAGGCTGCTAAATCTCACTTGAAGAGATAAAATCTTATGCTACCAGCATGTGCATACATACATACACCATTTGCACACAGACACAAACCTGCTCAGCATGCATCCCCAATTAACATAAAAACACACTTCTAACCACAAACACCACAACAAAGCAACCAAGCCCCAACCCCCGGGCAGGTCAGACTGCACACACACTCATAATTTATTCATACAGAATTTACACCATTTCTTTGATTACTTTGCTTACTTTCTATTTGATGCCAGTGTAACTTCATAATTCACCGCATTCCTATGCCGTTTTGCCTCTAGCCCCCCCCTTCAAATCACCCGCCCGCCCTGCTCTCCACCTTCCCTCCCTTCATCTTCTGCATACTGTCGTGGTTCCCAGAGCTTTGCTATTTCAACTTGCCCTCCCTCCCCCATCCAGCAAATTCCAGCTGCCACCATCAAAGAGGTTTCTGCAGACACTGAATGCAAAGGAGAGCTTAAAAACTACAGCAGGACAGGTTAGGAAAAAAAAAAGTTAAGTCAAATAACACCTTGGGAATCCATGTACCTAGGTTGATATATATCTCTTGATGCCTGGGAATGTTAAGGTCAGCAACTTTTCAGGCGTTTGTTATAATAACGTTGTTCCTAAATACATGTCTACACTGTTATTCATTCATTTGTGTACTTTCATCACTGGTTACTTCCAAAGATTTAATCCTTTAAGCTGTTGCTCATGTGAAACTATTTACATTGTATGACAAACTTTTTTGTGTGAATGTCATCTCGCAGCTGTTGTACTAGTCTGGGTGGAGAAGACCCGAAAGCACACAGACAGATAGTGTTTTTGAAAGTTAGCCTGTCCATAAAGAATGGGGCTCTGCTGGTAAAAGTCATAGGGTACATCCATTTAAAAAAAAAAGAAAAAAAGAAAAAAGAAAGTTGTTTGCCTGGTTGGATGGCAGTCGAATCTGAAGTGTGTCAAAGGTAAAAGGTTGTGCGGCAACACCTGGAAAAGTCGCACATTCTCACCTGATTCTCAGTGTCTCTTTCTCCTACTCAGTTGCCGACTTTCATACTTCTTCTCTTGCTGCTTCATATCTGATATCATAAAGTTTAATGCTGTTTAAAAAAAGAAAAACCTTCTCACCATACCGTCTTTTTCAGAGGTTAAAACAAAGGAAAATGAGTTGTTCAAGTTGTAACTGGCTCACAAGCCAGGGGGCAACGTCTTGACAGCTCGATGCTGATTACCTGCCATGCATAGGCTGTTAATTTTGTTGTAGGGCCTTACTTGTAGATTTCTTTCGTACTAATATATAACCATCACAGAGCCTCAGTGATGAGAAGCTAAATCCTGCCTGTACCTGCCAGCTGCCATTAAGTGACAGCTGAAAGCCTTCGGCTAGAAGAAAAAAAACTAATTTTGTGTGTATGTGTATGTGTGTATGTGCAGCCTGATAAACAACTCTTTGCTTCACGTCCTGTCTTCATCAATCCATACAGAGGAGCTAGGAAACCACTTATCTACCTTGATGTCAGCTTTAGCCATTAAGGTTTAAAATCCACTAAAAAGCCTAAAAAAAGCACTCTTCCCTCCAGCCCTCGCGCCAGCTGGCAAACAGCACTAAAAAGGCGGTGAGAGAGGTGCGACCGGGCTTTATCAGTTATCGCACTGTGAAATGCTTGACCGTCATGAGGAGTGCCAGGAAAATGAGGCTATGACGCTATGAATTACCACCTTTTCCAGTTCATTTGCAGATTTAAGCTAGTGTTGTGGTTAAACGCTTGAAAGGAGACAGGAGATATGAGAGATGAAGAGCGAGGAAGAGAGAGAAACAGATGGATGGCAACAGTCAGATCTTTGGCTGCAAAACTGAAATGCTGTTGAGATTAAAATTTATGTCATTATATAACATTGACATTAACATATGGGGAAAGATATGTTTCCCTTGATGAAAACAGGAATTTAAACCAGAACATTTCTCTGTCTCTGGAGATGATTAATTTTCTGTGGTGTCCCTCAGGGTTCAATTTTGGGTCTGTTACTGTTCTTTGTATATACTATGTGTTACCACTAGGAAAAATGACTGGCAGAAACAAAATCAGTTTTAGCTGCTATTAATATTTAGCGATGACAATGAGCTGAGCAGAAATATGTCAGGAGATTAAATAGTGGATGAATCTTAATTTAAAAAAATTTTTAAAAAATCAGCCATTGCAGCTATGTGTCAGACCATACATTAGGAATCTGCATGTGATGATCACAAATTGTATTTCAATAGCATCTAAAATTAGGCACTCCTGGAGAAAAAATTTGTGGGCCAATATCCTCCCAGACTTGACAACTGCCATTAACTGCATCTTCCAATCTCTGAGATTGGTATTTTCCATCTGCAGTTAGTGCTGAATGCTGCTGCTGAAACATAGAGAAAATATTTTATATTTGCAGTTGTTTTTTCCTGAGTGGTTTATTTTTAAAGCATTACATAGATAAACCTAATCATCTATTACCTTAGGACTACATGTACTGTTTGTGAGCAGGTTGTTTTTTTTTTGTTTTTTTTACTTAAGCTACAATAAAATAACAAAAAATACACACAGATTGGTAGACACAAACACTAGCTTTAAGGGCCATGAATGTCTCTTCATTGTGGTATTAGCACATAATTGATTTGATTGCCCTATGCTTGAAGAGAACACACACACACACGGGTGCTGAACAGTAGAATCCTGTTGTCGCTGGTCACTTCACTCGCACAGCTCGTATTCTGCTCTTGACTGAGTGTGTAAACACAATTACACGACACTCAAAGTGCCGCTGCGAGTCTCAATTTAACCCATATAGTATTCACTTGCTTTATGCGCTGCTTTAGTACAGTTAAGTAAACTTCACAGACATATTTGGTACTGCTGTTCAGCATGGCCGACTTCTGACTGACCACTGCAGCACCCAAGCAAGACATCACTTCCTGTGCTGCACCACCATCAGGCTGTGTGTGTGTGTGTGTGTGTGTGTGTGTGTGTGTGTGTGTATGTGTGTGTTTCTGTTAAGCAGATGGAGAAATTGGCAGCACACACTGAGATTGTGTGAATAAAAGTGCCTCTCAGTGTGCACATGCCAAGTTCTACATATCCCTGTACCACAGCCCTAACAGACACAGATGCAATTTTCTGCAACACACAATAGTAGAGGTGTTAATGCACGTGCAGGAGATGGCATCGTTTGTCTTTCATAGGGAACATTTCTGGGATGATGAGGAGGGGAAATTAATGAGATGAGAGAAAAAGATGGGGAGAGGCGAGTGACAAATTTAAACAGGAATTTACTTTATTTCACAAATTCTCCCATGCTTTTTCTACATGTATTTCATTTTTGGGTGGATAAAAATAAATAAAGAGCTTCAAATTGAGCTCAATAGTGGAGGTTCAATGTTGAGTCAAGAGGCCATGTGGCATTTGAGAGAGCCAGAAAGTGCGAGTAGTGGGCCAGAAGAGAGGGGGAGAAAGCTGAGAGACTGCAACAAGATACAAACAAGGGAATGTAAACAGGTGATATAAATAACAGCCAACATGCACACACAGTTTCACACATAAGTGCACAGACACACACAAATGCACACACACTGAACTTCCACCTTCAAAACAAAAACCGACAAAGAATATCAAAGTGCCATTGTCCAATTCCTTGAATATGTCCTGCCTTTCCTCCCAGTTACACAACAGGACCTATGGCTTTGCTTCCCTATTAGAG